CATGGGTAGACGAGGACGTGTGTATTGCTGGGGAGAGCCCACTTCAGGCCGTGCCCAAAGTTCCCTATTGTAGCATCACATGTGGAGGTGGGAACGCTAACTACAAAACGCATGGTAAATATATGTGGAGCATAGCCATTAGCCCACGCACTTCACGATCAACACAATGGAGATCTAGAACACTCGCTGACTGCGTGTCTATAACTTCTTTTTAACATTACACACTTACTGTTCGAAAAAGATACATACTCGAGCTAGATGATAATTCACCCATTTCAGAAGTACAGTATCTGCATCCCACGCTAGCAGGTCATTGATCCCCTCCCCCTTACGAAGAAGACGAACCAGCTCCGGATGACTGAGTGGCAAATACAGGATTACAAATTGTGAATATAAACAGCGGTTCCTAGAATCAAGTAACAAATAATCAGAAGCACCTAGGCTCTTCAACTGGGGGACACTGCTAGAGAGTTTATGTACAGCGGGTGCGAGCGACGTTTGAGGCGTAAGAATGCCTGTGTGACCACTTGCGACGAGATCGCCAGAAGGTCAAATTCTGATAAGCGGTGGTCTTGAACATATGAATTTATATCTCAATCTCTTCAATAAGCTGATTGTAAATAATCACTGCCATACTTTAAACGTGAGACAACCAGGCATGCTAGCTGGCACAAGGCAGTGGACATACGTGGAGATGTATTGCTGATCCAGCTTGTTGATGAAGTCTCGGCTCATTTTGATACAAATGGATACAATAATTTGGGGTTTGAAGTGTCCCACAATCAAGGATACTCGGCAGTGAGGTAAATGTGACGTTCTTGAAGCAGGTGGGAGCTGTATATCTCTAAAAACTGGTTCAGTCGCGATAAAGTCCAGATTCCAGAGGCTGCATTAGGATAGTCAAGCACCCTCGTTCATATAGTTTTTATTATTATTCATTGACAATAGTTATCTTTTTGAGCGATTATCGCCTTGTATCGTTCGGCTTTTGCGTTCGCTTATTGGTGACTGGTATGATGGTCTGTGGAGACTGGAGACTCTCGCTGATGTCTGAAGACTGCAATAACACGGTGAACACTCTTGTGAGAGTGTCTCTCGTAAAAAAAAGTTCACTTCTTGTGTGATATTATTATAATTTTAAATAGATTGGTGACAGAGGCGCGAGCCTCGTAATAATAATTTGTGGAGAAAACGTACAGTTTCAAGAATACGGAACTATGTTGCGGTCGACAGTAGTAAGCTCTTCACCGAATTTGCCGTATTCCAGTATTTGGCGGGAATACATATTCACAATCTTGTAAAGAGCTTATCTCATGGTTTTGATTGGCTGTGAAAGGTTTTTGTACCGATGCAGATTGCAGAATCGCTATTTATGTGTTTGCAGATTTGAGTCATGGCCCTGTGGCTCTGCTCGCTGCACAGTGCTGGCAGGAATATATAGAATTAGGTCTCGTCCTCGAGGGACGGGAAACCGAAAATGAGAAATCAGGTTTCAAACGGAATCGAAAAAAACAAAAAACAAAATGTCAAAACCCCCCCCCC